ATACACAATATGTGTAAGCTTCGAATGCACGTACATGGTTCATTGGGATATTCGCATCACATGCACATTATGCTTTAATTGCTATTCGCATTACACCTTCCTTTCTAGAGTAGACTAATTACATAATTTTTTATATATCTGATTTGGCTACATATTCTTAGAAAAATACAAAGTTAGCTATTCTTTGGGTTTAATTTCCTGTCTAGTTAAAATATGTCCCTGCCTCTTTCTAGGTGAAAAATTCTGTATTTATAGTCTATGATACAATGTTTAATAATGGCAAGCTCTATTCTTATGTAATTTATACCGCTTGCCATTTAAATTGATTATCAAATTTTGATTTTCGATTTCTAAAATTTCAAATGGTCCACTATAAATGAATTTGAATTTATCGTAGGGTTCGTTTTTTACTTTAATTTTCTCACCTACTTTGAAGTCGACGCAGTGTATGTTTTTGTCGTACTGCGTTTTGTTTCTTACTTTGATTTTCCCAATGATTGCTTTTGTTTCGATATGCGATCTTTGGAGTCTGTATCGCATAGCTTGTACAATATCGTCGAAATTGTAAAGTGGTTGTATATTGTTCGAGAAAATTTCGGTATTCAAATTCTCTTTGCGTGAAAAGATTAATTCGAATGGGCTGTAAACGTAGTTACTCGTTTGATGCGGGGTTGTATTGTAATTAAACTCAAAGTATCGCGCATACTTATCCCATTCTTCTAAATGGCCATTGAGATACGCTCGCAAGTACTCGTTCATGATGCGGTGGCTACGTTCGACGGCACCTAGCGTTTCATGATGGTACGCGGTGGAACTTTTGTGTTCCACCTTCAGTAGTTTACACAATTCTCGCAGCACCTGGTTCATGTGGTTTGTGATCACTGTACACGGTGAATTCAGTGCCATAAACGTATGGTCTTAGCATTGTCAAAGCGAAATGAATTGCTAACAATTCTTTTTCGATAATTGGCTTATTTAATTCCGCTTTTTTGAATGTTCGTGATATGAAAGCTATTGGCTTATCTTCGCCGAGAAGGCAATTTTCATCATGCGTGTGAACGCAGCTGGAGCCGGTGATATGCCGAATGGCAATACCTTAAATTGATAAAAACCATTGTCGGTGCTAAATGCCGTTAATGGTCTGGACTTCTTATCCAGTGGTATTTGATGATGGATAAATCTAAAATGGTCAGATAGAGTCTAAATTGAACCGAAGATTTTCTAATTTGGCCCGACAAAAATGAAAATTTGAGCAGATAATTTTATTCCAATTTGTCCAGATAAATTCCAAAAAAAGTCAGAGAAAACTCTAGATTGAGCAGAGAAAAATGGATTCACTATTTTTCTGCTTTTGACAGACAAACTTGTCCAAAACGGTCAGATATATTTCCCAAAATGATCAGATAAAATCCTAATAAAACCAGATATACTTATTCGAAAATGTGCAGACTTTTTCTGATTTTGGTCGAAGATATTCTAATTTGATCCGACAAGAATGACAATTTAAGCAGATAATTGTATTCCAATTTGGCCAGATAAATTCCAAAAAAGGTCAGAGAAAACTCTACATTGAGCAGAAAATTCACTATTTTTCTGCTTTTGACAGACGCACTTGTCCAAAACGGTCAGATATATTTTTAAAATGATCAGATAAATTCCTAATAAAACCAGATGTACATTTTTTTTTCGAAAATGTGCAGACTTTTTCTGACAAAATACATGTGTCTTACCTTAAACATATTCGTGGGAAATGTGTCTCTTACCTTTTATCGTAACAATGTGCTCAATTCAATCAAGTATAACTTGTTGCAGCACACAAACCAAATCAAACTCCATTACCATGAAAAACCACTTACTTTGTGCTCTGTGTCTCAAATCGTGTGTTTGTGTTCAAATAAAAAAAACCGATTTCATGTTTGCGTTCTTAAATTTTCTATTTTTTTCGTTTTGTTTTTATTAAATTAATTTGTATGTATATTTGTATGTGTATGTTTGTGTATTTGGGGTTTGTGTGTATTAATTGAATCAGAAGAGCTTTCGCAGCTTTTGCTGGGCGACCAGACGTTTTGTTTTGTGTCAACACCGTCGGAATTGCATTTTTCGGTAAAACGGCGATTTTTCGACGAAGTGCGATCCCAATGATGTGCTTACAGATATAATGCCTGAAAAAATCAGGACAATCGCATTGTGATTCAACGTTCCACTTTTCCCTGTTTTTTGCAACTCTAACGGTGTAGAATTTGCAATGGCCGAATTCAACGTATTGGTCAAAAGTCTTCCACGTCATTTGCTGGATTTTTTGCACCGAAGCTAAATCGAATGGCTTTTCAGACTCCAACCACTTTGTCGATGGTGCATAAAAAACCCATTCAGCCGAATTTTCGGACATTTTGATTGTTGGAATTTGGTCATCGCTTGCCCATATTGCACCTTTCTTCCACAATGGTGTGGGCATGATTGGCTCGCATTTCATGGCTTTTTTATTTTCTTTGTATTGAATGGATAATTCGTTGGCCATTTCAAACACTTTCTGGGTAAACTGGCCCAACGGCATGCGCTCACGGTGCGTTATATCGCGCTTCACGTGTGAGTTGTAACCTGAAACATTCGTGTCAAAATTTTGCTTCAATTTTCTTCGATTCAATGACTGGCAATTTGAGTTTTAAATTTGAATAATTTGAATGTTCAATTTTTCCATCCATCAGTAGAAGCAAAGCAAACAAAATCGTTCGATTGTCAAAATAAAGAGTGAGAGCGATCAACGAAAGAAGTCATATTCAAAACCAACTCACCTTCAATATGATTATTGTCTGATGGGTCGAATGCGGATGCGCCAACAAACCAGTACTTCAAATCGCCCAACCATTGTTGTTCAAAATAACGCGTGAAGTCCAATTCCTCTTTCTGCCATTTTTTGATGAACAGAGCCGACAGTTCGTCAAACTTTTCCTCGGTTGCGGCCAAATGCAGAATTTCGATGTCATCCATTATCGGTTTGCGATTCTTCTTGCTATTGGCCAAAGCTCGTTTGTTGACGTTCCTGAGAACGTGAACGTAACACATAACCATAACGGTGATAGTTGGAAATGTCAATTCGCAGGCATTTCGGATCGAAATGGCACCATCAGCAATTAGCGTTTTTGGTGCGAGCTGAACGTTATGAATTTGCTTTACGGCATCAATTAACGTTTGGAAGAAAAATGTGTAGTCTTCCGTTTTTTCGTTTGTGGTGCAAGCGTAGGCCAAAGCATGAAACTTTCTTGCACGATCAACAGTTCCCACGATGAGAAACGGATATCCGTTCCAATTAAGTTTGTACGTGGCATCGACAACGAGTGTAGTGGCACCAATGCAGTTTTTTAATAGGCGTTGAGTTGAAAACATGAATCGGAAAAATCTGGATTCGTTAACATTGGAGTGCTCGAAACCCATAACATACGGGGCGTCTTCATCCATTGGGATTGTGGAGTTTTTCTCACACCACTCGACCAAATCACCGACTGATATCACTTGGGGTGTTTCTTTTGACGCTTGACTCTCCGCTACATAATATACTTGCTTATCATTCGGTGTTTTTTCACCCGAAAAAATGCTACCCGTGGCCTTCAATTCGTTTATTGATTTTATGATATTTTTTGCCGACATGTTTTTCTTTCGTTGACTCACAATAAAATTGCGCATTTCTGGCGACATTTTTTTCGATTTATCTTCTTCGGCAATCGATTCATGATCATGGGGCGTAAGAGATGAAAAAATGACCGCTTCCGCCTTCACATCGCTCTCGAATATTTTCATCATATGTTGGCATTTCGTTTTTCCTCTTCTTTTCGCCACCGTGCAACGGAAAAAGTGACTCCAGCCATTCTTCACTTTTTTTGTTTCGGTGCGACCATATTTGCGATCTTTGACATCAGCTTCGGCTTCAGCAAAGGTTTTACATGTCTTTTCCATCGCATAATCAGCCTTTGTTTTTTTCTTCTTTTTCGGATTTTCAACAGAAGCAACATTTTCTTCTTCGCTCTCGCTTTCAACGACTACTTCGAACGCTTCATCTCCTGTTTCTGAATCAATCAAGTGATCCGCTTCACCACCAACTGCACCTTCTTCTTCTTCGTTTTCAGTTCCAGTGGCAACATCGAACTCTTGATTGTCTTTTGTTGAATCAATCGAGTAATTCGATGATTGGGCTTCCAATTTATCGCTAGAATCGCGCGATGATAATGGTTGCGATAACGATGGTTGTTTCGATGTGTCGACATTCGATTTGTCGTTAGAATTGTTTGGTGATGATGGCTGAGACAAAGACGATTGTTTGGCTGATGAAGATGGTTTTGAGACAGATGTCGATGGCTGAGATGATGACAACGACTTGGGTAATAGGTAGTCGGTGAGACTCACTCGTTTCAATACAATGTGACAGCGCTTGGCTCGTGGTTCGCCCTAAATTTCATATGAATTTGATTCATATGGGAAACAAACAGAAATTTCAAATTACGAGACGGAAAATGACTGGAAATTCTTTAAAAAATGAGCGAAAATCATATGAAATTAGTGGCCAAAATATTGACAAATGTGAATGATCATTAAAAAAAGCACGAGATTAAGTCGTCGAGAGAGGAAAAAAAACGTGCGAAATTAAAGTCAATTATAACATAATATGATCCGTATTGTCATCAAATCGCTGAATATCTCACACACAACACAGGAGAAGTCATATTCGCAATTCGTAGCGAAAATATGCGACACTTTTTAATGAATACTTTGTTGTTGTTGTTTTTTTCATTCTCGTTTGTTTTTTTTGTGTGTTTCGCTATATGCTTTCATTCACTTGTCTCTCAGTGCATTGTTGCTTTGTTATCAATTCGCAATATCAAATACGAAAAGAAATGAAGAAAAAAATCTTAGAATTTTCATACGGCACCATTCAAATGCATGGGAAAAAATTATATTAGATATAAAATCCGACAAGGACAAATTGGTGTGTAATAAGTTTGCGTGATGTGGTTCAGTGTGGTTTACAAGCTGACTCTGTTTATCATCACGAAAGTAATTTTGCTCGTGCAAATGAATTCATCGGAAAAATTGGTTCTGTGCTGCTTTGGCTACTGTTGCTACTGTGAACGAGCCAAAATTCGATACAACAATTATGAATTTATCACATGGCCGAGGTGAATCATCTTCACTAGATTCTATCAATAAAATCGAACAAATTTTGTTCAACCCGAAATGATTGATCCAAGCGTTGAATAAATTTACGGTTTTGGGAATTGTGTAATCTTTGTGTTGTCTTGGGTCATTTTCAGAAGTTGAATACATTTACGACTGACCGTTTCACTTTCATTCGATCCGTTGCAAAAAAAAAAATTTTGATGATATCCACTGTGAAGGTCCATCACGGAAAAGTACTTCGCTCTGCCGAGTCCATCTAGGATCTCGTCAATTCGTGGCAGAGGGTATTTATCCGGAATCAATTTTTTATTTAGGAGTCTGTAGTCCACGCAAAGGCGTCACTTCTTCGTGCCGTCTGCGGACTTTTTCGGAACTATTATTAGTGGGGAGTTATAGTTAGATTTGCTTAATTCTATTAGTTCATTATCTAGTAGTTTCTTAACTTGTGTACATATCTCCTTCTTTTGACTGTGTGGCAGTCGGTAATTCTTAACAAATACTGGTTCATTATTTCTAAGGTTTAATGTTTGTGTGTGAAAATTATTCGTACTCGGTCAGTCGCCGTCCAAGTAGAAAACGTCTGAAAATTCCTCACATAGCGGGTTAAGTTTTTCACTCGCATGTTTAGGGATTTTCGACCTGAGTATGGCTCGTAGACTCTCTAAACGTTCGTTTACTGGTCTGCCAATATTTTTCTCAAGTCTCAATATGTCGTAATTTTCCAAATTAGTTATTTTTAATTTGTCAGTTTGGATGTATTTCAATTTTTCATCCACATTGAGAACACGGATCCACGCTTCCGGTTCAAATACCACCGTAGCAGGTATAAACACATTTTCGGTGACATCTTGTCTTTCGATGATGCATGGAAAGCTGTTGCTTTTTATGCGAAACATTTTGAATGTTTCCGATCTAGGCGGCAAAGCTACTACGTTTCTAATTATTTCGTTTTGAATTGAGATTTTCGCTGGTGGTACGCCCCTGGGGGCTACCCGAAATGCCATTTCTCCGTAGTTTATCACGCAATGGTGTCGTTTTGAAAAATCTTTGCCCAGAATTCCGTGCGACGGTATTGGGAACTCGTCGGGAATTACATGGAAAATGTGGTCTACTGACAAATTAAAAATAACAGTGATTTTAATCGACCCGAGCGACTTGACTCTCTCTGAAGTGATGCCAGTCATGTCTATTGTGTCTGCTCGGTCGATGTCGTCGTAATTTATCGAAGACTTCTTTATCACTGACACACAGGCTTCTGTGTCGATCAAAAGAAGTATATTGTGTCGCGACTGTGGTGACGACACGGAGATAAAGTCAGAATAGTCCCCCGTGTCTTTGAAATGCAGCATTCTTTTTACGGCATTGGAATGTGGAACACGCGTTCGTTGTCTGGTTCCCCGCCGCTTGACGGGGCCTGCGCGTTTCCCTGAACGACGCGAACTGTGGCCTCGCCATTGCGATTGTTGCGGCTGTTTTCTTTCTTGAAATCGTTCTTGTTTCTGTTGTTCTTATTGAAATTTCCGTTATTCTTTGTGAAATTTCCGCTGGTTTTGAACTTTCCGTTTTTGTTGCCTGCATTCTTGTTGTTTCTGTTGTTCTTGTTGAAACTAAAGGTGTCAAACGGACGGACAACGGACGGACATTTGCTGTCCGTCCGTCCTTTTACAAATTTAGGACGGACAAATTTTTTTGTCCGTCCGTTTGAAAATTTAGGACAGACTAATTTTTTTGTGACGAATGCGTGACGAATGCGACTACAGCAACAGCAGAAGAGTTAGAATATCGTTGCATATGTTGGAGCATAAAGAGAAGCCATTCCGCTGTAAATTGTGTTCAAAGAAATTCGCCGAACAGGATCTTCTCGACATTCATTTGATAGTTCATCAGAATAAATGTTCACGATGCAAGAAAAAATTTGCCGACAAAGTTAAATGTGAACTCCATGAAAGAAATTGCACTTTATTACGATATGAATGCTATTTATGTAAATATCAAAACAGGGATAGATATGTTTTGGTACAACACATGCTTAAGCATACCGGCGACCAGCCTTACCATTGTGAACTATGCCCCAATCATTTCATGTTAAAAAATAAAAAATAAAATTGATATAACCAGAAAATAAATTGGAACAAGAAAAATATTGAATTGATGTAAAAAAAATTGACGTATAAAAGTAAATAAAAACATAAATCAAATGTCATTCATTTCCCAAACATAATTCAAATGCATGTATTCGTTTTTTTTCCTTTTTTCGCACATATTCTCTGCTTTGTTTTTTGATTTAGCACGTATTCAACTTGCCTTTGCTGGTTCACTTTTAGTCTGTTTCAGTGTGAAGAAAAAACTGAATTTTGGGTTTGTATTATGTTTTATTTAACAGAAATACGTCTGGTCTCAACAACGCTATTTGATGCAATGATCATTCTTAGCTAAAAACTCCTTATATATCCGAGAATTTGGTCTCATTTTAAATGATTTCAAAGAGATCATTTGCCGGTGCCTTTTGGACCGGCGAGCTCGAGTATTGGTAATTAACCATGCACTCGCAACTTAGCCGTGCACGAGCTCGTTACCATACGCACAGAAGGCACGTATGGGCGGCAGAATCAAAGCTCTTACAATGTTGCATTCAATTTAAATCGATGCTGGTCTACAAACGCCCGATCAAGCAAATTTTTCAAGAGGTATGCGAATGTTTCAAAATTTGCAAAAACACTAAAAATATTGAATATTTCCACAGAGGCAACCTTTGAGCTGAATGACACCGTAGAGACGACCAACGGTAGCGATGGACGTGGAGTCAAACATCGCTTTCTAAAAATATGAATTTTAGAATGATTTTGTTTCGAAACCTCTCAATTGCATGAAAATACAAATACCTCCACGATTTCTTAGCTCCTTCCAAAGTTCTCACCATTCTCTCTTATCTTCCGTTCTCTTCGACTGTGTGTAATGGTCTGTTCTCAAATTTTCAATCGTAAATAATCTCCATATATCCGGATCGACGTTCACTGATGTTTACAGACTCTTACCAACACCAATATACATCGGCTGTCGATTCCTATATTACATGATGTGATGCGACTGCGATATTCTCAACTGTTCTTGACGCGCTCAACGCTTCTAAAGGATTGTCAAATTTCAAAAATAAACAGCTGATTTCAAACGCATACATTCGTATGCTTTCAACTTACGGCTTGAGTTCTTGTAGTTTGGAGGAAATTCGATTCTTATATTTCGTGACAGCCAAAATATGGAACAGTATTGATTTGCCTGTTATTTGGTTCGGAGCAGAAGTGACGCATTTTGATAAAGTCTGAAAGGCATTGAAACCGTACGAAACGGTACGAAAGAGTTGAATCGAGTTGAATTTGGAAAGTTGAAAAATGAATACTCGAAGGTAAAAATCAAATTTAAAAAAATAAATAGTGAACATATGGAAATTTCGATTGTGCGTGCGGTTGTAGTAAAAACATTCGAAAAGCAACTAAACTGATATTTTATTTTACATTCCGTTAAATTTATTCTAATTTCATTAGTGGTGGTACTGCGGTAACACCTTCTACATCGAAGCAAGACGAAAAAGTGCAATCACCATCGGAAAGTTCGGGCGACGACGAAAAAGCAACAAATTGCGCAATGTGTGGACTTACATATTACAACGGATCAAGTTTGAATACACATATCGAAAGTGTACATCATGGCCGACGATTTTTATGCAGTGAATGCCCCGATTGTTTCACGGCAAAGTGTTCTTTTGAACGACATGCGGAAAAATATCACGCACGATTGAATGCAACATGCCAAGTCAAATATTTCCTTCTTGATGAAGACAAATGTACGATGCCAGACCAGAGCATAGACGGAAAAATCAGAGATCTGGAAACAAAAGTTGCTTGCAACAGTACTGAAATCGCACATTTGAAGGCAAAAATTTACCAGATCAAGCAT